TAACAAGTCTCAGGTGAGACTGAGTTACGCTACTAGTCCCAATTCGGGACGAGACAGCAAAGAAGATTTGAATGGAATTTGACTATGAGAGAATATACACGACTCAGTAGGGTACTTGAATAAATAAACTATTCTATAGTCTAATATGAACAATGGGCGACCGATTTAGCAAACACAATAGATGATTATTCATCAATTGTATAAAAGTGTGTCAACAGCCCACACTCGTCAACTCACAAGCTCGCTTGCCTCAACCCACCCTCAAACAAAATTTTAAAAATTCAAATTCACTTTTTTCCTGGTTTAATACCATCGCTTCCCTCTACCTTATTATCAATATTTTTAAAATAAACCATTTCGAACACGGGAAACGGGTAAGCAATATCTATGACTTGTATCTGCGATATGCTTCAACTTACAGAAGGCCGTTACAGCTATGACTAACACAGGCCAAAATAATTTAGGTTTCGCAAACGAAAAAAACCAAAGGCTTATATCCCTCGAAAGTTTTCCGACGGCCAGACCAGTTTGAGAAAGAGGGTAGAATACTCTTACCGACAAGAGGTTACCCTGACCGGCAAAAAATATGACGGTCAATCTCATCAACCAACAGTATCATTGTAGGTATTAAACAGTAATTTATATGTTGACTTTAAGATGACAATCAGCTTACAAACTTTTAATATTAATTTTTCTATTGTTAATAATAGATACAGATTGGCGTGGCATAAATGCCATTGAACTTAAAAATTCTTCCGGTTGCCCCTTCTTAAGTGCGCATATTATCGCGCGGGGGCAACATAGACAACAATTTCTTCCGGTTGCCCTTTCTTAAGCGCAGCGTATTGTCGCGCGGGGCAACATAAAATTTCTTCCGGTTGCCCTTTCTTAAGCGCAGCATATTATCGCGCGGGGGCAACATAAACAACAATTTCTTCCGGTCGCCTTTTCTTAAGCGTAGCATATTGTCGCGCGGGGGCAACATTTATTTCATGTTTCATGTATCTATTTATTTTATTATATAAGAATTAATTCAATCGTGTTGGCCTCATGTTTGTTAACGAGGCACTGCAACTAGCAATTTATTTTATCATGTATCAATTTGTTTATCATGTATCAATTTGTTTATGAACATTCCTTTTATTCTTACGCTAATACTCAGTACACAATAATAAATAATAAAAATCGGTTGTTGGCCTCCAAAAAATAAAGTAATAATCTTGCTAGTAACTATACAACTACGAAGCGTACGAAACTTGTCATTCTTACTAACTACATAATTATCCGACATCGTATATCGAACGCTGCAAAACGTGTAGTGTAAAAATAGAATTTCAATCCATGACCATTTACAACACGAGGTTATACGATATTTTAAGAGATGATTTGCTTAATATTACTCAGATATAATGTGATAGACTTCTGGTTTTGATAAAGGTTCTCTTCTTTTTGTCGTTCGACCGATATGGTATTATTCATAGTGTGAATACAAACCCGATATGAAAGATCGAAAAATATATATATTTGGCATGTAATAGTATTATTACTTATAGAGAATTTAATATATGCATGGATACGGAGGCTGAAACCTTAATATTACGGTAAATTGTACAATTGCGCCTCAACCAATAACGGACATGTTTCCAGCTTTTCCGGGATCCATTGTATAATCATCAGTAAAATGTAGCGTATATTTATTAGCTCTATCATATATCACTTGCGAGATAACAAGCACATGTTCTACTAAATTTTGAGGTGACCAATATTACCAGTAATAACGATTATGAATCTATACATAGTACATGGTACAGTACTAATACAATAAAGACGTGCATAAAATCTTCCCATGGTGCCCAGGCCATTGATGCCGCTCATGGTAACACCATCGAGTCGGGGAAAGAGTCGTTTGAAAGGTAAAAAAAAAATGTATATTCTTTTTTGATAGAAAAAAGAGGTTGGTAGCTTCTCGAAAACATCCGAAACAGTATCTAATGCCTTTTACAAACAAGCCTCACCTCGTAATAACTAATGCTCTTAGTTTTAATATATCATGATATGATTCACATGTTGCACAATGCATCTAATCTCCTTATCAGTGTTTCACAAATGGGGCGTTCTCATTTTTTCAAAAAATAAAATATGTTTGGTTTGTTGTAATGACGTTTCATCTGTTTTTGGACTTTAATTTTTATCCAATTGCCGTAACTTCTCGGCTGTCAAATTTTTTCCCCCTGAAAATGATCGAGTCATGCCACATTTGCAGAATGTGGCAAAATATTTTATGCAGATTACCTAAAGGGTGACCTGCGTAATACAAAATTTCATTCTCTAGATAGAGCATTGAGCAATGAGTAGTTGTTTAAAGACCTACGAGTCAAAAGAAGCGTGGATGGAAAGGGAAGAAAATTTTATACAGGAATAATGTACTTGCAACTAACAACACACAAACAAACGCTATACAGCGTACGGAATTTAACTATCCACAATCTACTGAACTATTGCCCAAGGGACCGAAGATTTTTGATGACGGTCATAATAGATGTAACTTGTAAGACACCCGAGATTGACATTTTACGCAATGGGAATGGAAATAATGGAAATACACAATACGTTCGATGGACAGTTTGATAATCTTGATCCATTATTTGATTTTATTTTGTATGATGGTTATACGGAGTATGACCTACTTTTTTATATCGACATTTATTCATTAATTGACTGTGTTAGACGTTGTTTATTCAGTATACATGTATTTTAACATTGATTAGTCTATATGGAACTTTGTAAAAAAAAGAAGATTTGGACATAGTGACGCGCCAATATATCATTGATACTGTACAACTCTTACCTTGATTGCGCCGTATGAAGAAAAGTTGTACAAACGAGTGTCAATATTATTTTATTATTATTATTATTATTATTATTAAGCATTCACTTATTCAGTTATCAACATATTCGTTAATTGATAAGCACATTCATCACTGGGAGTTCTAGTTCAGAGTTACATTGTTATTATCGGGAACGAGTATTTGCAATTATACAACCAATAAGATTTTTATTGAATTTAACACTATGTTGTAGATGAACAAACAAATAATAGTCTACCAGAACCAATCTCGTTATCTGCGTTTGTTGTTGTTTATTTTTCTTTCATACCAGTATTTAATTAAAGCTCGAGTATTAAATCCTGAATGGAATGCCAAATTTATTGAATTCCATAATAAAAATCCTCAAAAACGTCAGATATAATCCAACGTTTTCCCAAAGAACAACTCATTTAACCTCTAAAAGTGTCAACACAGGTTCAGGGTTATTATTACGTTCCCTAAATAAAGAGCCGAAGAAAAAATAGTATTGGATTACATGGCCAGGGACGTTTAATGAGAAAGAGTTACCTCGTCTGTATGGGGAGCAAGGAAATTTGAACGAATGTCTTTGTCCTTGAATTTCCATCATTAGATTCATCAAGGATGACACCAGCAACCATCTTTTTAACGTTAAACTTTATAAGTTTAACATTAAATTTTGACTTTAATATTTAAGGCAATTTGAATTCTGTCACTTTATTAAATATGGTAAAAATAGTAAAAATTAAACACAACACGCCCATGAATCATCGATCTACTGTTATTTAATAATACAAAAGCATAGTGAGAAAACTAATATTAACGCTTGCACAATATCTGATATCTTCCATTGATGTAGATTCTGCCTTATTTATCAAAAGATTGTCTCTACATCAATTTTTATCGTATTTCTTATGATAATTTAACTCAACTCATCATACACTCTTCATTGTAGCACTTGTAATTCTGAACAAATTTCATTTATTGATAATAATAATAATAAGATTAATAACATTTTTACTGGAGTCATTCGCTGGGCATAAATTGCTAATTAAATCCCGAAACTAACTTAATCTTGCCCGTTTGGTGTTTTGTTTAGGTTTTGTTAGATCCCGGGCAAGTCGAAGGAATTTCTGCAACGCATCTCCAAAGACGACATTGTCGACGCCTTCACCCTCTAATTGTCGACTGCAGGCTTCCACCCACCGTTTCTGCAATTCTGTCTTCGCCTTTTTTGCTCCCTTGCGTTTTTTTAACAATGCTTGTGGCAAGGGCGTGACTGGCATCAAGACTGCAGTTCGGAGTGTCAGTGGTGCCTTGTATCCCCCCTCGTACCCGAAAAGTTTGGGGAGGTAGCCTTCAAAGAGGCTTTTTATGACAAATTCATTTTGGCACAACTTAAATATATACAACTCCTCGGGCTCGAACGGAACATTGATATTATAATATTCGTTAAAGATAATAACCAAGTCCCGCCACCTCCCCCTATGTGTGATGGAGTCTGGATGTTGCGATATTCCCACCCTCCCGACAAGAAGTTCCTTCATTAAATGTCTTGTTATTTGAGCCTTCACCCCAAACTTTATCACCATAAATCTATATATGGGCGCCGAGTATTTAAGAAATGTTTGTGAAAGGGGTATCGGCATTTGGCGGCGAGGTCCCAAATGTTCATCTATTACTCCATATTTCCTAAATATGGAAATTATTTTGTTCTCTGGATCGTCTACCCGATCTACTATATAGTCCAGGAGGTAATGTTCTATTAATTCCTTTTTCGGGTTTAATATTTCATCTAAGCAGATGCCAAGCACCTGTTCGATTGTAAGGCTGCGCACAACAGCGAATGATTCCACTATGATGTCCCCTACGTCCATTACTTTCTCCCCAAACATTAGTAATCCATCCCCGAAAACCCTATCCCAAACGCCAAACCCGAGCGAGATTAAATAGTTCAATTTTCTCACAACCATCGCCACAGTCGGCTTCACCCAGTTACCCCCCGTAGTTTTTGGAAATAAAATTTGTAACAATCCCTGTATGACGAGATCGTTTACGTCACTGACAACGTTTGCGTATCCGATCCTCTTCCATTCGTTTATTAAGTCGGGGCACAAAAGGATCGCTCTCGAAATAACGTTCAATTGGGGAACGTTTCCGTAACCATCTGACGTCGGATAATCTCCATAAGCCGGAGGGTAGGAGGACAACACGCCAGAGTCTGGCCGAGGGGGAAACGGAGCGAACTTGCAAGTTTGAATTAAACTTCTAATCTCGCCAATATTTCTCCGAAATATGAGTTTGGCCTCACGGATTGTGGACGGTCCGCCTGATCGAGAATAAAAAAACTCCATATCATTTTCACCGAGGCAGACGCCATCTCCGTACCGTTTAAATCCCTCAGCCATTATATACGAATAAATATCATTGGTGAGATGGCTTCCCCACAGACGCTGGGTATCCCGTTGTTCGAAGCCGGCTTTCAGCTTTTGTATCGCGTAACGGCTTATATTTGCCTTTTGGGCAAGTAGGTTCCGGACAACGGTGGGATTTATAAATGGTTCTCCCAACCTTATTGCGTGAATTAATGCATGCGTCCTACTGAATTGGTATATGAGCCATTTTGATTTGGCATAGGGCGAATGTACGAGATTGTACCACTCGCGAGAGCATTTGGCGAGTGGTGAGGGGTTTTTTAAGTTGAGGATAACCTCTAGCTTTAATTCTACCAAAAGGTTATCAAGGGTACATTGGATTTGGTTATCTTGCATGATTGTTATTGAGTTTTTGTAATTTATTTGAGCAACGGTGAGAATTGAGGTCTTGAAAAGTGTAAAAACACAACTTGAAACGACGATTGAAATGTTGGGAACGATGATGGGGAATTGAGGTCTGTGATTAATGTTCTCTTATATGTTATTGGTTGTGCGCAGCAATGACATTATAGCAAGAATAGTCATAACAAGTGCCATGTTATGGATGGAGACAAACAACGTTTTGTGTTATAGCGTTCCTCATTTAGAAAGACGTTTAACCAAATTTGGAACATTCGGGTCTAATATCTCGTCTTTTTTCCTATCCCAATCTGGTATAAGTGCCAAATCTTCTAAAATGTGCAATTAAGTGCCACAAAATGTATCTTGAATATGAATTAACAATGTCCTATCGCCTATTAAAAAACGTATCTGTAACGGTCGACTAATCTGGCAATAAAGGCAAGTCTTTGTCTTGAAAATGCTATTTTTGTACAATACACACCACTGCTACTTGCATAATAAAAAGTTTACTCTAATAATTTAAATACCAAGAATTTGTGCGAAAGGACTAACTAAACGATTGTCTTTCGACAAACGCATCTATTACTATGGGAAACAGTGGATCTTTTCGTTTGAAAATTTATTACACTGTTCTTTTACAAAAAAAGTAATATTACCGATTGCTGATGCCATCTGTTTGTAATACAAAATAAATAAGATTTTATTTTTATCATTCGATCAACCTATGCGTAAGTTACAACATTATATATATTAATAAACAACACAGCGGCTCATTCGGCCTCTTCTTTTAATTTTAATAACCTTTCCACCTGAATATGACAGCCTCACACAAAGCCAATTCATTTCTGCAGGTCATATCATTACTTATCTTATTTCTTAATATTAACCACTCTCGAATATCAAAGTAACTGATTAGATCTATAGTGAACGATGACAATAATGAACTTCAGGAAAACGATAATCCAGCTATTGAACTTTAATGCACTTTTGAGTATGAAAGAATTTGAAAGATGTAAACTCGATCTCGATTACTCAATTTTGGCCTGAGAAGGCCAAATCCTTTTTCTCAATAACAAGTAAAACCCGTTATAAGAAACTCATCGGGTCGGGTCAAATACTCTTTTATTTTATATCGAAAATTTCTTATAACGAGAGTCGTTAGTTGGAAGATGTTAGATCAGGTCTTTAATAAAATATACTGTATTATTTATCTTTTCCCAATTCGGATTGTTTTGATTTCCGCTTTCTCGATTTAGAACATGACTCTTTATTAGGAAATATGTAAATAGGAGCTAGTCTAAAAGAGCGATAAACGTGTAACAGCAAAAAAAAAAAAGATTTGCAACGCTGTCGTTTATTGGCCAAAAGTGCAAAAAGTACCGAGACTCTTGCCAAATAAAACCCATCACGTATGTCCTGATAAATAACGCGCCTTTCTTTTCTCACCGCCTGTTCTCTTATCAACTCTTTTCAAATATGGTTCAAGACTCGTCGTTGACACAATAGGCCTCTTATTCAAAGCAGCGAAAGTACTGGCCGAACAACAAACACCAATATGACAGTCGGAATCCGTTCGTTTTGTGGATGGTTGGGAATATTAATATGCAAACTTGGATTGGTCCATAGAACTTAAAATAGCCACTGGAATTGCCAATGGACTTGTCTTTTGCCACGATCGAGAAGTACTCCACCACGACTTGAGAAGTCATAACATACTACTCGATTACAGATTATGTCGGGTTTCAGCTGAGCAGGTTTCAGCGGTCGGCGTCGGGTCACCAAATAAAGGCCGTGACCAGTGAAGAGTAGGCTTGTCAAAGAATCGGAGATCCGAACATTTGGGTAATAAGAATTTGTATTGATTTGGTGGAACTTATGTGTTAATATTAATTACTCATTTCCCTCTCTCTGCTAATTTCATATCTCAGATATTATCCACCAGAAAAGTTCACTGACATCGAACAGCCATATAGGGCCCCCCAGTGATATATACAGATAACAGCAAAAGCTTAATAAATTGTGCCAAACTGACAATCACAGAGACAGAAGAGGTACAAAATCTAATCCAATACATGGATATCAATAATCAACTAGATTATGATCTGGATCTAATAAATCCATACGAATTCAACGAGGCAGAAGTCAGAATAGAGATCAATGATGTGGGACCGTCAGCTCCAATTGCGTCTTTGCTTCAGTCACTCGGTGCCTTTTCATCCGGTGCCTCTTCATCTCATTCTCTATATCCAGGCTCATCAATGATTGTGGGAAACATATTGACGACGAGGTGCAATCACCAAGCGTAATCACCAAGCGTATTCAATCACCAAGCGTCAGGCCTATTCAATCACCAAGCGTTCACGTCTATTCAATCACCAAGCGTCAGGCCTATTCAATCACCAAGCGTCCATGTCAGCTCGATTCTCGAGCGTCAGATCTACTCGATCATCAAAGGATAGCGTCAAGATTACCAAGCCTAAAAACAAATCAGCGACTACCAGTAGAACTACTTTACGAAGACAACCCCCCTCGCAATGTACTATCTTTATATGCGCGTCCATATCACCGGCTAAGAAGCAGACAGGTTTCATTTAACAAATGAAAAAAAAAGAAAGGAATTATCTACCTCGCGTTTCAGTGTTTATGCATTTACTAGCCAATTGTGGGCAGATAGTAGATACGAATTTTTGCGATACCCTGTATATTACTCTTTATAATAATCTTGCATGTAATAGTCAGATATAAAGGGTAAAGATTTCGGTGGAATTTTTTTTGGCGTCTATCGTCATATTAATTATGTACAATCAATCGTCTTGTAGGGAAGCAATGTTCAGACTTGCTATTATACTTTACGATATGATTCTTGATATGTTATTTTATATGAGACTAGTCTTGCCAAGGTTAGCATTTCGGGAAAGCTTGCAATTTCAATTTCAATCAATTCACGACCAAGTCGATCATGTACTTCCAGTTACATGTAGCATTGTTCTACTATTTTGTACAATCTGTTTTTCCAGTAATAAACAACGAGAGTGAAGAAAAAGGCTTTTTAACCTGCAACGAATGCTCCGTTTCGTTTTTGGCCCAATCCCCTAAAAATTACATCAACGTCCACATTATTGGCGTTGAAGTGTCGAGTATCATCGAATTTCCCTATTTTCAATAAGAACAAAAACTTGGGCGTGTTTTTTAAGGAGTAACATCATTTTTATTTTATAGTATCATTTCGGAATTCTTCACGCGATGTAATTAGACATGGCCCTCCAAATCCATATCGATCGGACGAAGCTTTGAAGCCAGGTGATTAAAAAGCCGGAATTATATTTTGTACAGATACTCTATAGCATTGTACCCTTCTTAACTATTGATTCGCCGTTCGATTATTATAAGAAATTGATCTCATTGAAAGAAGTCATCTAGTCACCAAGCACTATCGGGCCACGCAAAGCATCGCGAACAATCTAAGCTTGTCAGTTGTATAACAGAAGAGCAATTGATGCAATCAATAAGACGTTATCGTTCAGCTTTGTTCAGCATAGAATAG